TTTTCCGGGCATCGAGGTACTGGAGACATGTGGGCGGGGGGGGGGGCACAAGTTGGGGGGTGGTGGGTCAGGACTCAGCCCATCCCCAACCCCCCTCAACCTCTGGGTTTTGGGTGGGTTTGGGGGGTAGGAAGTAATTTCCAGGTCTAAGGTGATCTCAAGCACTTCCAGGAGGCTCCTGGGAGGGACCCCACCCCGTGGGTCACCTTGGGGGCTTCCCTGGGGAAGGAGAAACATGGGGAAGGAACCTCTTGGGGAAGGAACCTCTTGGGGAAGGAACCTCTTGGGGAAGGAACCTCTTGGGGAAGGAACCTCTTGGGGAAGGAACCTCTTGGGGAAGGAACCACTTGGGAAGGAACCTCTTGGGGAAAGAGCCACTTGGGAAGGAACCTCTTGGGGAAAGAGCCACTTGGGGAAGGAACCTCTTGGGGAAGGAACCTCTTGGGGAAGGAGCCACTTGGGGAAGGAACCTTTTTGGATCCCACCCAAGATCTTTTTGGGATCCCACCCAAGATCCTTTCGGGATCCCACCCGCGCTCCCTTTTTCTTTGGGGGGTGGGATGGGGACCCTTCTCCCTTCTTCCAGGGGGTGTTGTGTCCAGCAGGGAGCAGTTGGGTGGGAGCAGAGACCTTCCTCATCATGTGGGCAGCTGCCTGCCAGCCCCGGGTGCCGATGTGCTTGTTGAAGGAGATGTTGAGGTGCGTGGCCGACTCGTAGTACTCGATCATGTCGAACAAGGCTGAGGCACCCTGAGGGACCAAGGAGGAGAGGGACCAGCTGAGAGGGCTGGGAAGAAGTTTGGTTCCTCTGGGATGGACCTTTGGGATCCCCTTGCCTCACCTCACGGCTCTGGGGCTGTGTTGATTTGTAGATTCATGGGATGGTTTGGGTTGGAGGGACCTTCAAGATCATTTAGATCCACTTCCCATCAGCCCAGGTGGCTTCAAACCCCATCCATGGAGTCCCAGAAGGGTTTGGGTGGGAAGGACCTTCCAAGGTCCATGGGCAGGGACACCTCAAACTAGACCAGGTGGCTCCAAGTTCCATCATCCATGGAGTCCCAGAAGGGTTTGGGGTGATGGGACCTTCAAAGGTCCATGGGCAGGGACACCTCCCACCAGCCCAGGCTGCTCCAAGCCCCATCCAACCTGCCCTTCAACACCCCCAGGGATGGGGCAGCCACAGCTTCCCTGGGCAACCTGGGCCAGGCTCTCACCACCCTCACAGCAAAGAATTCCCTCCTCACCTCCAACCTCAACCTCCCTCTTCCAGTTTTCATCCATCCCCCTGGTCCCATCACTTGTCCCAAGTCCCTCCCCAGCTTTCCTGGAGCCTCTTCAGGCCCTGGAAGGTTCTCCAAGGTCTCCCAGGAACGTTCTCCACACACCCCAACTCTCCCAGCCTGGCTTGGGGACCATCACTGGGGACCCAGCACTGGAATGACCCTTCTGAAGACACAGAAGGACGTTCTTTTCCCCCTGGATATTCCCCAGGATTGGTGCCCAACTGCTCCCATGGGGTGGGAACCCCCTTCCCTGGTCAAGGAACCCCCTGATCATCCAACCAAGCCACCAAGAAAAGGTCTAAACCCCCCAAGATCCAGAGCAGGTTGAGAAGTGAAAGGGACAAGCAGAGGAGGACACGTGGCTGGGAAAGGCCACGAGCTCCGACGGCGTCAGGGGAACAATTAACTTAATGACTTAATGAGGTTGGTTGGAGAAAATGAGGCTCCACACGAGCAGGAGTCAACGGGGGGGCAGGGCCACCCCAGCCTGGGAGGCTTCCATGGGAAAGCTGGAGAACCCTGGAGGGCTGGGAAGCACCAGGTGAAGGTTAAAGGAGGGAGAGAACAGGTCTTGAGGGAACACCAGGACTTTCTGTTGGTGCTTCTGGGCAGGAAATGAGGAGGAGGAGAAGAAGAAGAACCTGTTGGGTGGTGAAGGCCCCAGGGTGACACGCCCAGGGGAAAAGGTTGATCCTGAGGGAGGAGGAGAAGAACTGGAGGACTCAGGGTTGTGAGGAACCACCAAGAAACCTGTTTTCCCCCAAAAGAACCATCAAGAACTTCCAAGAACGCCAAGAGTGGTCGGAAGGTGGGAGCAGGATGGACAATGGGGGCAAAATGAGACCCTTGAAGACACAAGGTCTGGAAGGGGACACTCCAGGACACATGGAATGACCCTTTCTAATCAACTCCTTCATTTTTAACCACTTCTTTCACCTTCTCCATGTCCCCACTCAGGTCCCCGGGCACCGTGAGGGAGGAGAAAAGCAAGTTGGGTGGGGATGGGACGTGCAGTGGGAGCCTGAACTTCACCCTCAGCCCCATCAAACCACCCCAAGAACCACCCAAGGACCCCAGAGCTCTTCAAAGGTGGCTTGGGAGCTTGGTGGCCACCCAAGCTTCAGGGCAAGTGGTCAACCTCTTCCTGCTGGGAGCAGCAAACGCCGCGTCAGCCCCCAAGGGCTCCAGGGGAGATGCCCAAACAACACAACTCAGGGGTTTGGGGAGGAGCTCAGGGATGAGGAGGAAGAGGAAGGAGAAGCCAGGAGAGGTCATGGTCACTTACGTCTTCGTCCAAGCTGGTTTGCTCCAAGTCCACCAGTTTGAACTGGACTCTCTTGAAAATCTCCTCCAGGGCTTCACAGGCTTTGGAATCCAACTTCTCCCCTGGGAAAAGAGCAGAAGAAGGAGACTTGGGGAGGTTCTTCAACATGTCCCACCCACATCCAAGCCTTGAGCTTGAGGGCTTCAAGTTCCAGGATGGAGAACCTGGGAAAAAAGTGATTCCTGTCCCATCTGGAACCTCCAGAGAAGGAATCCAAGGCCTATTCTG